ACACCATTCTGACAGTGAAGCATGAATGAGGTTCAACTATGCTATGGGATTTCTTTAATACAAAAGGTGTCAGTCAAGTTGTGCAGATTGGAAGAACCATGAAAAAAGAAAACTATCCTAATATTCTTAAGGGTAATCTGAAAAGGTTGTTTCCAAATCTCTGAATGACTAGAAATTAAATTTTCCAACAACTTGAAACAAAAGTCAAATCTGTTGAAAGAATGGATGGAAAAAGGAGAAAAAATTAATATTCCGTCACAGCTTTCACAATCACATAGAAAATTTGTGGTGTGAATTAAAAATGAATGTTAAGAAATCCAAAAAATATATCAGAATTAGATCTGTTCAGCAAAGAAAAGTTATCAAAAATATTTTGGTAACTACCCTAAACATTTGGCAAATGCAAATGAGTAAAAAGAATTTACAATAGATTACCCTAATTGTTTGACAAATAGAACAAAAAGGATTTAGAATAGATTACTCTGTAGAGTAATTGGCTATGGTTAAGTGTAATTGGCAATACTTCAACTTCAATTCCTACTATCCATACATTGGGAAGAAAGGGATTGTCTGATGCCTACAACACAGGGTATAAATCATAATTTGTGAACCAGACGCATAGCAACAGAAAAGAATCAGCATCAAGTGTACCCTTCAGAATATCAACTATCTGTCAAGCATAACCTCAGCATCTGCAGGTAGAGACAGCAGAGTCAAGGAGAAAGTCCAGAAAACTACCACAGTTTGTCTGCCTTATGTCAAGGGTTTATTGGAAAAGATTCAGAAGATCTGCAGTCCATTCAACATCAGAACAATATTCAGAAGTTGCTCCAATCTATGGAGAAATCTCTGTCAAGTAAAGAGCTGTATGTACTCAATTCCTTGCAGACACCTCAAAGAATCTAAAGGTGAAACAAACCACCTCCTCAGAGTAAGGCAAGAGGAACATCAAAGAGTCATAGTGAGGAATGAGAAAAGAAACAAGGCATAGCTGATCATGTATGGAGGGAAAAGAGTAGTCATTTGCCCCAGTGGAATGAAGCAAAAGTACTGGACAAGGAAGAACACAGGTTAGTTCTTGACAAATTAGGTTTAATGTTCCACAGAGAATTGTTCCAGAGGAAAATAGCCTATTGGATTCAAGTGTTGGTTTGTGAATGTGGCAACATAATAATTGAGATTTCAATCCGTGGGTTGGGTAGTGTGTACTTGAACTCAGTAGTGAAAATAGGGCAAGCATTAACTGTCCAGTACTAAAAATAAGAACTAGATGAGATGTCACTAAAATGAAAATAGTTTATCCTCATAGATTAAATAAAGGGTTCAATTCAGAATTCCCTGAATGTTACCTGATGAAGGCCAGAGTGTATAACAGCAGAAACATTGTGATAACAACAACAAAAATGAGAACAATAGTCCATACGTAAATAGCAACATTTGATGCTGATTTTTCTCTTGCAATTGTAAGCAGTAGGTGTTCTTTGGGGCTCACTGTTTACATATGAGTTATAAAAATTACAGACAAAACAAATAAGATTTGAAGTCTTAACATTAACAAAAGAGTTTATTTCTATCAAATTCACATTGTATTAGAAAGAATAAAAAATTTAGTTGTAAGCTTTCTACTTATTGCTTACAATACAGCAACATATGTAAATATGAATGTCTTTACTCGCAAGTAGTTTGGTAGTAACAGGAGAGTATAGAATACAGATATTACATAAGCAAGAATGTTTGATGCTACTATATTCATATGTATATTTTTGTAGTGGGAGGAATGTGATACTCAATCTTGAATGGAATTATTGTTGGTTGTATATTCATGCAAGGATTCACATTTGAAAGGACAATTTGAATTCTGAATATTTTTTGATTTTCAGAAAGAGGTAGACTGAATTAAGACTTGTTGGATATGAAATTTATTTAACATTTCTCCTTGTTGATTAAGAAGACGAAAGAAATTTCTAGTCAAAATTTAACAATTAGTAATTAACCTGCTTTAGTGTTAACTGGTTACAGGAATTGGTTTGCAGAATATTGATGAGTTCTTCATTTCTGTGCCAAAAAGATACTAAATGAATTAACATTGTGAATAATTCTGACCTGATGTCTTTTACCTGAAAATTATTTTGAAAAACTAAAATTTGGACCAAGAAGACAAATATAGATGAATTTGTTCAGAGGTGGCACCAAAGAAAGAATTTCAAATTCTGTTCAGTGTTTGGATCTGTTAGAAAAGATGAAAGTTGATATTAATTATCCAAATTTTTGCAAAGATTAATACTTATAAAATATGAAAAGAATTTCCTCTACACACTTTTTTTACAAGTTTGAAATTTTGAAGAGACACATAAAACTTAAGCAGTCAGGAGTTCATAGTCTAATCATCCAATACATGACAAATTTGTGCAGACACTCTCTCAATAGTACTGACTGTAACTTTTATTCCTCTAAAAGTTCTTTTAAAGGCAATAATTTTAAAGTTTGCAATTTCTTTTCTTACTGGTTTCATTTTTCCTTCATCATTTACTGAATTAAAATCTTACAGTTGTCATCCTAGAGGTTTTATCCCTTGTTTCCCGCTTAGGACTGGGTTTCCAGTTCCTTTTAAAGTCTTCTCATTCTCTTTCACACCCATTGGCTGTTTTATCTCAGTAGCATTGTCACCTTGCTTGTGGTGAATTGATTTTAAAAAAAGTAAAATCTGAAAAATTTCAGTTCATATCGAAATGAGAGTTTGACAAATTTCAAACAATGTATTTACATGGAAAACCCAAAAAGTAAGCTTATTCATTTTTCTACTAATTAATTTGCTTTTCTTTTTGTATTATCATTCTAACTTTACATATCAAATTTATTCTGCTGGAACTGTGGATTTGTTTTCAATATTAAGCAGCAGGGCTATTGTGCTATGTACCCACATGAAATGAATGAAATCTTAACAGCCAGATTCCTACTCTTACTTTTTATTTTCTCTGAGCTGTGCAAGTTCCACAGTCATGACACATTTATTCATCCAGCTCTCAAATAATATTCTTGAAATTTTAGCCAAATTCAACATAGCAATTACTTAATTTTGCAGCAGCAACTTGTTTCTGTTAATAGTATGTGGTTTCCTAAATTGCATCATGGAAGTGAACACTCATTTTTCACAGTGACAGGTTATCCTTAGGCAAGAGGTAGCATTAGTTAACCAATTTTGCTGTGCCAAATGGCATTATACATTTGTGTTTCAAGTTTTAAAAGGTTGGTTGCTGGCAGCATACACAACAGTAAAAAAGATTGTTAAAAAAGAACTAGAATTAGTATTCATTATGTGTGTGTATGTGTGTATGTATATATATATATATATATATATATATATATATATATATATATATATATGTGTGTGTGTGAGACATTGTGTGTATATATATATGTATATATAATATATCTCAATGTTCAATTTTTTATTTACATATGTTCTATCCCTGATGTCAAGCACTTTAACCCATAAATATATCAAACTTTAAAACTATATTTTTATCACACACACACACACAAAAACACACATGTGTGTGTGTGTATACATTACATATATATATGACATTATGTGTAAACACATCGACACATATACACACAAAGGAAGCTCTGTAAGAAATATTTCCAATTTATTTCAATAAAAACTGCAACAAATACAGGGAGCACACTAAAATAGTTGGATAGAGCAACTTTTCCATTACAAAAATACTACTTTCTCACATAATCACGACAATTTACTATGTATTTTCACTGGCAATGAACAAGATTGCATACTGTTCTCCTAATCTGCATCAGTAGAAGCAACTAACCTTTTCATAGCAACAAAGTCGATGTGTGGACAGTGTGGTAGATAATGGCTCAGAATCACAAATAACCTTGGGAAAGGCATGAATCCATCACTTCTCACCTCTCAGCTATGGGTTAAATAGTAGGACCTATATCTAAAAAAATTTTCATGCAATATTCACTCACACAAAAAGACAAGAATTATTCTTACAAGCCAAAATTTTGGGCCATTAATTAACCTACAAATGGTTGATAAGCCATAAAAAACAAATCAGTCAACAATCACAGTAATGATGATGGTGGTGGTTTTGTCAGGAAAACATTTTTCATATAGTCTGTCATTAATCAGATCAAACAGGTGAAAGCCAGAAAGCATCAATCCAGATTATATGGTGAGTGTGGTAGAACAATCCAGCTTAAATTTTCAATGTGATCCATTGTCTTTGAAATGGTGTGGGGCATGGCATTATTGTGCTCTAATTGACATTCTGTCTTCTTTTGCCTAAATCTAGAAATTCAGACTTTCAGCCTATTTAACAGTATGAGTTGATGGCTTGTTTAGGTTCTAGAAAATACAGGTGGATTACACTTTTCCTCTTCCAAAAGACTATAGACATCACTTTATCCACTGATAGCTGTATTTTCTACTTTTCTTTTTTCCTTCATTTCTTTTGTTTTTGATGTTGCCACTTCACTGACTGTCATTTTGATTTCAATGAAGTAGTCAAAACATGTCTCGTCATCAGTGATAATGCAGTCCAGAAAACTGTCATCTTTAGCCTCAAGATTGTTGAGCAGGTCCTGACAGAATTGCATTTGTGTCTTTTGTTATACAACTCTTTTTCCTCTTTCTGTCTCTCTCATTTGTTTTATATATATATATATATATATATATATAGTTTTTAGGTGTGCTATATTTATAGGATAAAATGCTCAATATCAGCGATAGAGTATATGTAAATATAAAAGTCAACATTGAAGTCAACACTCAGCAGCGACAACCTGTTTCATGCTAAATGTAATTAACATACACACACACACACACACACGTGTGTGTGTGTGTGTGTATGTATGTATGTATGTATATATATATATATATATATATATATATATATATATATATATATATATATATATATATATATATATATATATATATATGTTTACCTGGTTTTCCTTTCATTTTTCTCTAGCTTTCTTACCTTCAACTTTTCCTCTTCATTCCTTTCTGCTTCTCCCTCTCTCTTCCCACTCATAGTCATGATACGAATTCTTCATAAAGTTGCATTTGTCATTATTTACTAATATAGACATTTAAATATATTCTTGTACATATAAATATACAAATATATTACTTTTATTTATATCTCTTTTATGTACTAACACAGATGTATACACACATACGCACACACACTTTATATATATATATATATATATATATATATACATACATACATATATATATATATATATATATATATATATATATATATATATATATATATATATATATATACACACACACACACAAAGTATTACCAACACAATAGTTCAGGAAATTTGAACATTTCTTTTTATATTTTACTTTTCCTCTGTCTCCTTTAACATAGAACATCTGAATGTTTGTTGTTTTTTTCCACAAATTCTTTGTAAAAGTCTATACTACATTCAGTTCTTAAGTTATCAAAACATTTGCGTCACACCTCATATATTTTCTTACAAACAAGAATATAGACATATAAACCTAAACACATTTATATAAACATAAATAAATTTATTAACATTTATATAAACATAAATGCATTTATAAAACTATGACCATTTGTAGAAAACGTCTTTTACAGATAAAAAAACACTAGAATATCTTTTTTAATTTTAAATGTTTATGGTAGAAAGAGTCATATTTTTATTTCCTTAGAAATTCAAATAATAATACATATATAATGCCTCCTATTTTATTATATTGTCCAACATTATCAGAGGCAAATGTTTGTGGTAAGGCAGCAGAGGTTGAGCCATCCAGTCAATAACCATAATGTTTTTGCCTTGTTACAGGTTGAAGCTTATTTTTTATTTTGATTGGTGGTTTGTGATTATGAATATATTTCCTAACTTTTTTTTTCTAAATACTTTTGACCACCTTGGCCATCTTCTGGGAGTAAGGTTACTTTCATTCAAAATAAATCTTTTGTTTTCTTTGGCATCTGATTTTAAACATGTTATGTTTTTTAATATTAAAATAAGATGTCAGAGAAAGCTAAAACTTATTCAGAATGAAAACAATCTTACTCTCTGAAGATGGCTGAATGTACTTGGAGAAAAAATGTTAGGAATTTTATGATCTGAAACCACCAATTGTAAAAACAATAAAATAAATGATAAATGATTTAAAAAATTTTAAAAAAAATCTTTACATAGTCTTTAATGGAAAAAAATTGCCAACATATATATAAGGGAGAGATTAAAATTGTTCCAATGAGAGAAAGGTGTATATTTTAAAGAGAAAAGAGAAGCCACAAATGTTTTTGGTTATAATGTGGATTTTTTTTTATTTATTTATTTTAAATATATATTATACTTTATTTTCCATATTTTTTGCTACCTCTGTATCTTTTTAAACCTATGTCCATTTTTGTGTATTGTGTGTGTGTGTGTGTGTGTGTGTGTGTGTATGTGTCTGTGTGTCTGTGTGTGCGTTTGCAAGTATGTGAATTTAGAAAAATATAATAAATTTTAAAATTTTTAGGGATGTGTTTTATCCATTAGGATTTCATCAGACTGGGCATTGTCAATGTTGCCATGACTACACATGCACACAAAATGAGAGATGCAGGTAGTTTCAAAATTTTTTAAAAGAATGTTTAAAAAGAATATTTTTTCAATCTAACCAAATCCATCTGTATTCTTTTTCTTATTCTTTTTCTCTCCATCACCTTTGTCCCTGACTATCCCACATTGTGGCAATAAAAAAATCTACCAAGAATGGTGATAAGGTGGTAAGAGCCTGGATGCAAATTTATTGTGCCTGAACTAGCAATCAAGGCACTTTCAAGACATTTTTTGAGTATGTGTATACATATTCCTTCTTCATACATACATACATATATATATATATATATATATATATATATATATATATATTTTAAGCATTTCACCCTAAACAAGGTGGGATGCCACTAGTACACAAGGGGTTACAGAAGGTGTGAGCGAGACTAAAGAGGCGTGATAGAGGAAAGGATGAAGAGAAGGTCAGGCAATAGATCAAGGCATCTGGAGATGGCGATTGACATTATATTTGAATAGTTAGAGATTATAGCTATCAGGGAAACAAGTAATCGGAAAAGAATTCCATAGATAGGAGGTGCAAGACATTGAAGTAGAAGAGATGGTTACATTTAACTGTTTCAACAGTCAAAGGGTGGGACTGAGATGCCAGCCTAGTTGCACATTTAAATTCATGCAGTCTGGGAACTAGCAAAAGTAGCTCGTCAGAGCAGCTACCATGAAAGTATTTGTAGAAGAGACAGAGGGAGGTGACAGCACATCTGTGAGAGAGCGTCTGTAGATGAGGTGTCAGATCAGAGCCAATCACATTGCATATCCATTTCTGGATTTTGTTGAGGACCTTAAGATGAACAGCGGGCATATCAGACCATATATGGCAGCAATATTCCATGCAAGGAAATGGTTGATTTATAGATTTGAAGGATGGACTTGGGTGAGAAAAACTTTCTGGTGTGACACAGGGAACCAACTTTCCTTGCAGTGGATGCAGCTATGGATTCAATGTACTTGTTCCATCTCAGGTCAGTGGACTGTGTGAGACCAAACAGTCGCAAAGAGGTGCTCTCATGGAGTTGAGCATCAGACATTCTAATGGGAGGCAGGGATGGGTCCCTGTGGTGAGTAATAGAACGCAGTTTTGTTTTTGAGGCATTAAAGTTAACCAGCCAATTCCTGCCCCAGTCAACAACTGATTGGAGCTCCTTTTCGAGACTAATGGCCAGTTTAGTTTTATCAGCAATACCAGATTTGCTATTGAGGCACGAGTAAATAGTAGTGTTGTCTGCACAGATGTCTAGTTGGGAACTGATGACATCAGGAAGATCGTTAATGAAGATAAGGAACAGAGTAGGGCCCAGGATAGAGCCTTGGGGAACACCTGCATTTGTGGGAAAGGAACTGGAGGAGAATTCGTTAAAGACAACCTTCATTACATGGTTTGACAGGAATGATTGTATTAAGTCAAATAATCGATCTGAAATTCCATATCACTGAAGCTTACGAAGAAGGCCAGCATGCCAAACCCTATCAAACATTTTAGAGATATCTAGAGAAATGGAACAAGCTTCTTCGTTATTGTGAAGTACTTGGTAAACAATTTCAGTTATGGCCATGAGCACATCAGCTGTAGAATGGGCAAAGCAGAAACCATATTGCTTGTCAGAGAGAAGATCATGGGATATAAGGTGCTTAACCACTTTGGCATTGATTAAAGCTTGAAAGACTTTGCTGAAAACTGGTAGGAGACTGATAAGACAGTAGTTAGATTGGTCAGAAGGGTCTCCAGAGTTCTTAGACAGGTACAACAGGACTTCCAACAGGCTGGAAAACAAGATTCATTGAGGTAGTAGTTATATAATTTGGAGAGGTGCAGGGGCCAGTTCAGGAGCATATTGTTTTATTACAAGGAAATAGTATATATGCACACAAACTTTTTGTATGGTGTGTCGGGTTTATGTGCGTGTCATCCATCTACTGTGTTTGTTTTTGCCAGTATGTATGTATATATTTGTTCACCATACATATTTGTATGATGTGTGTGTGTGTGTGTGTGTGTGTGTGGTTTTACTAGTGCATTTGGCCACTATGTGTGTTTATGTGTGTGGGGTTATGATTTGGTTAGTGCTGGTTTAAATTTATTTATGATATTTTTTTTTTGTATTTATAGGTGAAGAATAATTGTGTATTTTGATATATTGGCATAATTTTAAATTTGCCATTTGTAACATTTTTTGGATGTGTTGTGACTAACCAAAGAGTTTAATGTTATCTGGTCGCAATTTAATGTTTTTTATGAAAGGAAACAAAACTTTTTTTAGTGCTTAGGTGATACCTATATAGGACTTGTTGCATTTGTTTTCTTGAGTCATAAATCACATTTTGAGTTGCAGTTTAAGTTTTTTTTCTTTATTTGAAAATTTCATATATATTTTTAAAAGTGTAGATATATATATTTTATAATGTATTGTATGCTGGCTAAATTTGGATATAAAATATTAATATGTGTTTTAGGTTTTTTTAATTGGTGTTTGCTTTTAATTATTTTGGTTGTTTTTAGTATATATTTAATTTTATCATTCTTGTTAAATAGGTCTTTTAGATTTCTTTAATTTCTGTAAATATTTTTTGATTGTTATTTTGCATATTTAGACATATAAATTTATTTGTTCGTTGTTGTGTTTCTTTGGGTTTTATAGTTGGTCTAAAAGGTATTCTTTCTGCTAGTTAAAAATAAAAAATGATTAGTGGCGTATAATGTAGCCTCATTTTTTAAAAAGAGTTTTATGTAAATTTTTCTATTAATTTTTTCAGGGTATTTATCAACCACTATCATGCAAATCTTATGTGCTAGGGAATAGGGGATGGATTTTTTAGTTTTTGGGATAATGGCTTGTGAAAAAATATTTGTTATTAATGTCTGTAGGTTTGACAATAGTGTAGTTAAATGAGGTTATATTATCTGATGCTGCTCATACATCTTTGAATGCAGAATTTTGAAAATACACTGTCCTTGAATTCACACACACGTCACCAATGTAAAAACCATTCTGCTTCTCATTGCTTCAGCCCTCTTTTATTATGCCAGTGCCAAAGCTGACTGACCAATCAATGTTCTTTGCTTCATCTTCAGTCACACAGTCAAATAGCATCAGTATAGTTTGACCAATTTAAGAATAGTTTATTATTGATTTGAACCATTTGTTAAAAGCAGTAAAAAAGAATCAACATTGCAGAATCATACACTTTTGGAATAATCTGAAGCAGGGGAGATTCATACTATTTTCAAGGAACAAAATGTTGCTACTGTGTGTTGTGTATTGAGATAAAGAAAACTTTGACAAACTTTGCAAGCCATTTTGATGAGTATATCAGCCAGAATAATGGCTTTTTCATTAAATTTATGTTCTTGGGTGAATTTGATCTTTGGGTGAAAGTTTTGGAGTAGCAATATTTGGGATTTTAGAAAGTATATTTGTCTGAATTTTATTGCATTAAA